GGGGGGGGGTGTTCCAGGTTGAAATCAGGAAAAGCCAATGGGCACATTCATTTCAATACTTCCCATAAAAAGTTCACTCTATGGGGAATCTTAGTAGTCCAATCGTTGGCTACCTAAACTTTCACTTCGCTGGTGAGGGTTCGATTCCCCATCTTGTAATCCCCTCCCCCATTTCCTCTTCCCCTCCCCCTATGTATAATTAAAAAAAGGGTTCATTCTCTGTATGTTTGGTCTAAGATTCTTTACTTGAATGCAGGGTTTTTCCCCATCACATCAAAAAAAAATTATCATTCTTCTCAATATTGATAGTGATATAGCATCTTTTATAAAAATAAAAAAAAATTAAAGATCAACGCATCTGCAACAATGAATAAAAGACACCCCAAAAACTCTTAAGATAAAACTGACATACAGAGCTTTCAGAAGGGTTACTGATGCTCTTTATCCTTGACGCACACTGAGATATTGCCTTCACTTCTTGAGCAACCAAGTTACAGAGGTCACTTGGGATTTCTTTTGACTCTGAGTCAGAGACAGATAACATTTTTGAATCTTTCATCTGGTTAGAAAGCTGATATTCTTCCTCACTAGCAGCAGTAATGAGCACCTGCAACTTCCTTTTATGGCAATTTAAATAGACCTCAATGTCCAATGGCTCCGTCTCCTCACATCCTTTTATTAAAATATCTAAGGCAGACAGTTCAATTGAAGTTAGCCCTCTCTCTGTATGATTGGTGACACGTAATGATTCAGCACGGACCTCTTTTGAGGAAAAGAGAAGAGGAGCAAGTGTCTTTACACACTCAGAGTGCAGATTTTTATCAACTAACTGATGGATACCATCCTTCATTAGAAAATCAACGTCCAGTAGATGAATCTCATGGAGGATTCTATCGACAGTCAGCCTCTTATACGATTTTAAGTGGGACAATGAAACGAAGTCATTTTTGCTTTCCTTATTTGTCAAAAGCTCCATTGAAATAGAGAACTCTTCTCGAGCTCTCGCTTTGTCACCGTCTGATATAGACAATTGCCCACTTAACCAAAAAAAGCGAACCCAAAACCCATGATTTTTACTAATTTGAGGATATCCACTATGACCATTATTCTGACAATGCGCCCTCGTTGAAGAGCTTTCTTTCCTGCCAATAATGTGGAATGGATAGTCCAAAGCGACGCATTCAATTATTTTGCATAGATGATATGAAGCCTCTGACATCAAGCTAGACTTCTTTGAAGTGTCAGAAGAACATACACCAAAATCATAATATAACTCAGCAAGAAACAAATTGCACTCAGGAGTTCTCTCCTGGCCCCAAAACCTTATCATCTTCTCCAGATCTAAAAATTTAGACATGCCATCCTGATACAAAATGCCTCGGTTGGCAACTTCTTCCAGGAGCATGTGACCCAAGTGGTAAGCACCATGATTTCTTGTCGATTTCAGGACAAATTCAACAACATCATCACACTCTGTATCCGGTGAATTAGGAAGATCCTCAGCTTTGTCTGCAAATCCTGTTTGATTCACAAGATAGGGTCCTAGAAATAGCATTACAACTTTAGCAAGGTCCCTGTTGGTCTCAAAATCTAATTCTTCTTTGTCTGGTTTACGACTCCTGAGCCTTTCCAGGCGGCTGCTTCGTCTTTCTTGAGGTTGTTCTCCACAAATACTTGATTGTTTTTCTCTACCAGCACTACCTTTCTCAGACTTGTAATCCACAACGCAAATGCTTTCAGCAGCTGCGGAGACATAAGTAGTTTTCCTTTCTGAAGGATCCCTAGATTTTCCTGGTATGTTAGACAATTTAGTGCTTACTGTAACATCACCAGATATGTTTTTCCCTAGTCCAAGTTCAGAACTAGATTCAATTGATGGATGTAAAATTTTCAAGAATTCACTGGCAAGAGCTGTCCAGGAAACATCTGGAAGGCAGAACTCCAAACTTTGCTTCAACTTTTTGGAAACAAGTTTCTCATCAAGGTCATCACCTGCAGCTTTTCTCTTCTCTGGGAATTTCAGCCGCGTATGTTTAGGTTCTAGATTGTCTATCCCTCGTGGGGCAAATGGAATTGGTTCAGACTCTTCAATAGTTCTTTTAACAAGCAAAGCTCGAGAATGGGAAGGCCAATGTCTTAGAATTAGATCAGCGACTGAAAGGCAGGCAACCTCATCACCTATAGCAATAAGCACTTCTAAAAGTTTTTCCATGCAATTCCCTGCATATTATTCAAGAAGAAGCAGCGGATGAAGGAATAATAAGATTACCTCTGCCATAAGGTGAATATGTTGGCTCTTTTAACATTCAAAATCATGTAACAGGAAAAGCTTATTTAAGGAAGCTTATAAGAACTTAAACATGATATAAAATGCTCACAGTTATTGGGACTACAATATAACCCTTGTTCAAATGCCCAGCGGGAAATGCTCAACGATCCCATTGAGCATGCTAAAGTTCCCAGCTTATTCCAGACAACAGCATCCTTATTATCAATCTCTACAGATTGAAGATAGCATTGCAAAGCATCTTTGTAGTAAGGAGCACCTTGTTGTAGAAAAACATTGGCAAGATTCTTCAGTGCCAAAAATCTGCAGAAATGTGAATGAGTACAGTTACCCAGCATCAGAAATATATGTTTATACAAATATTGACAATTAGAAGTGGAGAAGGGTTGGGGGTGGGCCCATTATCCACCGAGTTACGAACCGTGCACCACTATTCCTTGGGGATTTCTCGGTTATCAAAACAAAAAAGAAATTGTGAATTAGTAGTCAATTATTTGAGGCTTTTATAGGGCAACTATCTTAGTTTATTAACATCCACAATCAACCATGAAAATGATTTTATTTGGAGGATTGAAGGCCATAATTGAATCTTAAAGCGAACATAGAGGGTAAGAGCAATAAATGCGCTTTAGTTTTAAATGCATGGGAAAATTAAATGGGAAAATGTTCTATAGACAGATAGAAGATATGGTAGTCCACTTGCTATTCTAGACTATTAGAGAAGTAGTAGCCAAGAACAAGCAAGACAAGAATTACAATACAATTGGAACCAATAGTTCAAGTGAGAAGTTAGGCCTGAAAACACACCTGAGCTGCAAAAGATGACCATCACTAGAATTACTATCCACCTAGAATGTCAACAAGGAAAAAAAAAAGAATAAAATAATCATCAGCAAAGTTATATTACCTTATAAAAAAAAAAATCATCAGTACGGATGTAGCAGAAAAGATGGTGATTTTAAGGTAACCATCAGCATTTTACCTGAGAGTTTGCGACCAAAGGATCCTTTAACACAGCCTCCAAAAGCTCACGAGCTTTTTTATAGTCTTTAGCTTCCAGTTTCAAAAGTCCTTCATGGTAAGCTTGTGATAAATGAAATTCCTGGAAAAACCAAGTTATCATAAATCCATTGTAAAAAGACAAAAATCGAAATAACGCCATGCTTACTCTTCATCACAGTAACATAATAAAAGTTCGTAACAAAAAAAATCATCCATATAAGAAACAAGTGATCACAATATTGCATGCATAGTAGATAGAATCGCCAACTTTTTAAGGAAAATGGAAAAAGAAAAAAGAGAGATGCGTTATAATCAACTAAACATTCAGTAGAAAAAACTTTTTCCTTTGATATCTTAAGCTGGCAAAATTAGGGTACTTTAACACAAGGTGCTCTTTACTATTAATTCTTGAATCTCAACAACTAAGCAGACTATTTTTTGCTGCATTATAAGGACTAATCTTTGTTTTCTACAGAGAAACCCCTTATAATCTCAGACACCAATTGCACCAACAACAACATGTGTAAATTACACACACACACACACACACACATAGAGACAAAAAAAAAAACTTGAGCTGAAGTTTACCTGGGCTTCTTTGGTTGGGGCTAAAGGTTCCCATTGGCTTTTTGAGTCTGTATCATTGATAGCTGCAATTGAAAACTGAAACCCCAAATTTTGAAAAAGCAAAAAAAGAATCAGAGAGACACAGTTGAGATGATCATAAATATACTGCGAGAAGTTAAAAATATTTGAATTTTATTACGCTCTAGCTTACCATTGTAGCAAACAACTATGAGCCGAGTTGAACTCTAACGGATTTTCTCCATTCAAGAAATTGGGCGGGCGAACTTTTCTGTTAATAATTTTAGCAGTTTTCAGTGTTAAATCCTTCGTTCTTTGTGTGTCGAATTGTTTTCTGTTCTTGAATGTTTGCTAAATCGTTGTTTTGCCCCCAAAGTTTGGGTAAAATACGACAATCGTCCTGGAAAGATTTGGAAATTTAAATTGAATTACCCTTAAGTAAAGCCTCTTACATTTCCCAACTTTTGATGGAAAAAACAGCATTTTTTTGTGGTAAAAGCTTACATGTATTTATAATAAATAAGTTTACTGAAATTTCACTTGTATAGATTTCGGATTTCAGGACACTATTTGCAGCAGTTCAAACTCCAGAATATTTTTTGAATTTTGTGTGGTTATTTTCAACTATTTTATTGTATTTTTATGTTATGATTATTTTTAATTACTTTGCAATATATTTCAATTAGCCATCCTAAGAGTGACTACTACTATATCATTTTTACTTTATTCTATTGCGATATGATTATTATTTAAAGAGTCAAAAACTTTTATTCTTGTATGATATTTTTTAAATAGAATATTCAACCCGAGTAATCTTAATAATTCATGGAATTCCCTTTCTCACCAATGACAAAATATTCGAGGTCCCAAAGACACCAAAAACGTAAAACCTGAGTTTGCAAAATCATTTTTGCAGGAACTCAAAACAAACGCACTTGTGTTTCTTTATTCATTGATACCTAACACACTTAAAGTGAGTCAAGAGTCTACTGAAAACAGTATCTCGATCTTCATAAGGTAGAAGTAAGATATACATACACACCATCCTCTCCACACTCTTGTAGGATTACATTGGGTGTGTTGTTGTATCTAACACACCCAAACTCTTCTAGAGTTAATTTCACAGCAGAATTAAGTACAGCATAATGTCACGGGCCCAAATCCTTACATTGGGTAGCGACACCTGCTCGCCCGTGCGGCGCCCGCAGTTCCCCTCGCTACAGGCCAGCCTTCTTCCTGTCCCAGGATTTCTCACGTTTGATCCTGTGCCTGTCGGAGGGACTCGCCCGTAGGCTCGCCCCAACTTGTGCCGCCCGTAAGATGCCTAGGCCCTTGGCCCTAGACATGTCGTGGCGCTCCATCTTAGGATCACAATCCATGCGCGCCCTGGGGATTGGCTTAGGACATGCCTTGTTCTTAGCCCAAGACTGAGCATCGCTCCCGCGTGCACAACCCAATCCTCAAGCTTGACACTCGCCTAGTGCATCTGCGACTAGTTCGTGCCTCGCCCGAGTAAGGCAACCTTTAGCCCTTGGCCATTATCATGCGCCTCTTTCGTGCCATGCCCATAC